TTAAAAATTTAGATATTTACCGTATGCTGTGTGGACAAATACTGAAGTAAGAATTAACGAAATTATAATTATACGTTTCATTGTAAATGTATAAATGTTTCGTAGGTACTTTACAAATTATAAAATGAACGATTTTTTAAAAAAGAATAATGTATACAGTCTTTTATATAGCGGTACATAAAAAATGTAAAAACTTGTGTAAATAATGAATTGTTCATTTAAAATAATGTCCTAAATATACTAAACAAATAAAGCACACTATAAAAATACGTTTTGTGTGATATTAAAGATTATTAAACAATATGATTTATCACTTCGGAAAATGTTTAACCTAGTTACCAAAAATTAGAACGATGATGTTCACGTTCGAATTTAGAAGCATTAAAACTAATAAAAACAGTTTGAAAATAACTTTTAAAAAATTAATTTTACCGAAAAAATGATTTGTACACAATTTGTCTTAGATAATTATTTTATTGGATAGTTAATAATTTTTAATTTATATAAATTAAAATTTTAAATTAAATAAAATAAAAACGCAAATAAACAAGAATATCTAGACTGTATTATTTATTCTAAACATCTATACTAAGATTTAAAAATCCTGTTAAATTCTATAAGCTAAATTTCAATTATTAAGTCGTAATATATTCAACTATACATTAAAACTAAAAAAAAACTGTTGAAAAAATTATTGTTTATAGATTAGAATATATTATTTTAGATATGGAGCATAGCGAGGGTATCTTTTGGTTTTACTATGATGTATTTTTTATTTTTTGTGAGCGTATGATTAATTTTTCCACCAGAACACTTGCTCTGAAATATCGAGTAGAATTTTTTCTGAAAAATAATGTTTTTTAGTTGCTACATTTGAAAGGTCATTTTTTAAAATTCTGAATAATTTTCAAAATATATGGGGAAAATCAGAAAAAAAATTATGGGTAAAAGGCAAATATTTACAGCATGTCACGGCGTCATCGTTTTCCTTTTTTTTTTTCGATTTCTGTTCACTAGGTTTTGTACCAGAGATATTGCCCCAACTAAAAAGTTGGTAGCCACTAACAGAAAAAGTCGTTTTTTGATATCCAAAGTAATTTGCATAATAATCGGGGAAAAAATAAAAAACAAGAAATACGATTATTATTTCAAATTATGACCTTAAAATTGTATTATTTAAAAGAACGGGAAAATTTATGATAATATTTCTTTTATTATTTGAAATTTTGTTTTTAAAATGTTATTCAGTAAAAAATATTTGCGGTGTCAAAACTAGTATCCAGGAGGGCAATAATTAATAAATGACGTTTTTGTTTGAATTTAAATGCACTCAAACAAATCGAAACAGTTTGAAAAATAACCTAAAACAATTCATTTTACAGTAAAATTGACTTTTTTTTTTTTTATTTAAACGATAAAAGAATCTATATAAATAAAAATCAACATAAGTATTTATGCATACAATGCAAAATATATTCACAAAACTTGTGTAGGGTTTTCCTTCCAGTGAAGCAGTCCCATTCTTAATTTAATAATTAGACTAAGTCAAATATTTACAGTCGTTTGAGTCGTCTGATGTCCTTCGAGTAGTCGAGGAGCTGTTTGGCAGCCGCATTTGTATGGAGCTCCAGTTTTCTTGCATGTTTGCGAGCAAACCGGGTAATTTTATCTTGCACGGATGACATTTTTAAATCGCGGTGAATTATGTCGTTCTTATCATACCGATATGTTGCGAAAATGGTACAAAAAGCGATCATCTGGCATCGTTGTATTATTTCGATATCGGACTTACTGGCACAACCCTACAGTTGAATACCATAAATCCTAATCGGTTTAACAATCGATACATACAAGAGACGTTTGCTGGTTAAGACTACCTCGGAGTGTCAACCAACTAGTCACAACAGTTTGTGCATTTTTTTTTTATTTTGCATTTTTTTCTAGCGTACATGATGTTCCAGTGGAGTCGTGAGTCAAGATGTATTCCCAGATATTTCGCTGAATTATTTTGCGGTATTATCTGCTAACACCAAGAATATACACAAAGAGATCAAGGACGCAGGGAGGAACTTGGCAAAAAATATTTGAAATATTATAATTAACTCCATTAGTTAATATAAGATTTATATTAAATTATTATTCTAATTATTTAAGTATTATACTTAAATAGTAAATTGTTTCACTATAGATATTAGTAATTACTTGTTACTTTATTCATATTAGTCACATACCAGAAGTGTTGATCAAATAAATTCGTCCAAAATTGCACGCAGCACCAATTATAAATATAGGAAGTAGTATAGAACATATTGTAACCAATTTAGATTGTACTTCTGTAGAATCAGACTTGTATATTATGTCAACAATACGTCCAAAGGAGAATGGAATTGCCATTGTAACAGCGCTAGATACTAGTAAAAAGCACACAGCATCTGAAATAAATAAAATACAATTAACAACAATCACTAATTTACTATAGTTAGGGCAGATATATAATTAATTATACAAATATACTTGCATATGAGTTTTTTTTTTCTGGTTTCACGAGAGAATATAATCTCAGAACCTTGAACTCTGAAAGTAATTTTTGGGTACGCTTTGCGGTACTCTTGGAGCTTGTACATCGCATCAAATTGTTAAATAACAGTCTTCGTGTAGGGCAGTGTGGAATAATTGAAAGTATAACTCTGTGTTAACAACAAACGGGCAATTTAAGTTTAGTACATAAGTTATAACGTAACAATCCAAACGTCGTCGTATTGACAGGCATATCGTTAAGGCAAAAGAATAAATCGATAATTAAAAAATAATTTGATTATTATATAGCTACAAGAAAAAAAGAAATCGAGACTACATACCCTACAGTTATAGGTATGCAATAGTTTTAATGCAGTCCAAGACTGGAAAAATGATAATAAATTGCGATAAGTGATAATGTTATAATCATGAACATTATAGATAATACGTTTAGGTATTTTGTTATAATACCATAATAATATTATTATCGAATTTCAATGTTCGTTAAGTGGAGGGGCTGCAATTATTTATTTTAAAACATAACGAATTAAAACTTAATTTGTGATCTGAATGTGCTTTATAATATGAGAAACGATATTAATCGTGTTACAAGGTACAACTATGATAAAAATTTAAACAATCAACAATTATTAAATTATCTAATGGCCGTTCTCACAAACGTAAAAAAAAATGGTGTTTCTGATTTGTAGTAATACAAAAAATAGGAAATGTAAAGAAAAATGGTAAGAGAGGAAAAGTGTGGGGTCAAATAAGAGGTTATTTAAAAGCAGTTGAGACGGGGGTTAATATAAAGGGAGAGGCGTGGTTAATGGGATAGTAGACTTAAGACACTAAGTATAGAAATGGAAGACAAATATATTTAAAATTATAGGATAATCACATTGAAATACCTATAAAGAATGTNATGTATAGACTTTGTAAAAAATATTCACATTTAAAAATTATTAATTAACTTCAAAAAGTAACTATCTCATTTATTTTTGTGACAACTTGATAAGAATAGTTTGTTAAGAATAAAATTCAACAAAACTACAGCAGTATTTGAAAAAAAAAAAAAATATAAAACTAAACAATTGAAATATTATAGTTAATTCCATTACTAAATATAAGTTTTATATTAAATTATTAAAGTATTATACTTAAATAGTAAATTGTTTCACTATAGATATTAGTAATTACTTGTTACTTGATTCATATTAGTCACATACCAGAAGTGTTGATCAAGTAAATTCGTCCAAAATTGCACGCAGCACCAATTATAAATATAGGAAGTAGTATAGAACATATTGTAACCAATTTAGATTGTACTTCTGTAGAATCAGACTTGTATATTATGTCAACAATACGTCCAAAGGAGAACGGAATTGCCATTGTAACAGCGCTAGATACTAGTAAAAAGCACACAGCATCTGAAATAAATAAAATACAATTAACAACAATCACTAATTTACTATAGTTTGGGCAGATATATAATTTATCAGACAAATATACTTGCATACGAGTCTATTTTTTTCTGGTTTCACGAGAGAATATAACCTCAGAACCTTGGACTCTGAAAGTAATTTTTGGGTATGCTTTGCGGCACTCTTGGAGCTTGTACATCGTATCAGATTGTTAAATAACTGTCTCCGTGTAGGGCAGTGTGGAATAAGTGAAAGTATAACCCTGTGTTGACAATAAACGGGCAATTTAAGTTTAGTACACAAGTTATAACGTAACAATCCAAACGTCATCGTATTGACAGCCAAACCGTTGAGTCAAAAGAATTGATCGATAATTACAAAAATAATTTAATTGTTATATAGCTACAAGAAAAAAAGAAATCGAGACTACATACCCCACAGTTATAGGTATGCAATAATTTTAATGCAGTCCGAGACTGGAAAAATGATAATAAATTGTGATAAGTGATAATGTTATAATCATGAACATTATAGATAATACGATTAGGTATTATAATACCATAATAATATTATTATCGGATTTCAACGTTCGTTTAGCGGAGGGGGTGCAATTATTTATTTTAAAACTTAATTTGTCGTTTGAATGTGCTTGATAATATGAGAAACGATATTAATCGTGTTACAAGGTACAACTATGATGAAAATTTAAACAATCAACAATTATTAAATTAACTAATGGCCGTTCTCACCGACGTATAAAAAAAAAATAAAAAAAAAAATGGTTTTTCTGATTCTTAAACTGAGTTTATGGCTGATAACCGACCACGATTGGACGGTTGTCTTATAAACTCAGTTTAAAAATCAACGTTTACGTTGGTGAGAACAGGCCCTGGTATAATAAGTAGGTATCTTACCTACCAAATTATTTAATATGCGTTCGACAAAACTGCAGCGGATGCCTATTGGACTTTGAAATTGAAGGTATGCTGATGGTATAAATATTATTGTGACGCACCTAGTGTAATTATGCAAACCCTAGTACTTTTAAGTGGTGTCGACCTAAGCCCATTCCTCTAGCTTCGACTTGCAATACTCTTATCGCCTTAAGATTTAACTACAATGGGGACAGTGGATCATCCTGTTATCGTCCCGTTTTCACACTAAAAGCTTCCGATATAATACCATCCGCTCTCACTTTGGATTTTACATCCCGTATACACAATTTAGTTAGATTTTTAAGTTTTTTTGGAAGCCAAATTCTTCCATTATGTTGTAAAGGCTATTTCTATGGGAGCTGTCGTAGGCTTTCATAAAGTCCAAGATATCTGCCACATATTTTGACGGTGCATCATACTTATTTTTTCTTTGCTATACGTCCTGTAAATGATAATTTTTCTGTGGTTGACCTACTTTTGCGAAACCCACACTGATTTTCACCTAAGCATTCTGTTGCGGTTTAATTCATAGCAAAGTTCGGTTATACATGTTTTGAAAGGCCGTAATATTTACGATTTCCGTTAATATTATATATATTAAAATTCATATTACAAAAAAGTAAAAAAAAAACACTAAATTAAACTCAAATTTTTCTTATTGACCACTAAGTACAACTTTTAATAAATCTTCTATTAAATCTTCAAGCATTTCTATTTGGTCTAACAATTTTATCCGCAGAGTAGGTGCCTAACCTCTGGTACCTACTGAATAAAAATTACATAAAAAACTCACAAAATTAAAATGTCTATAAATAGCTCAAAAAGGATTCAAATGTTTTGAAAATTTCACCACATCTAGAAAAGGTAAATATAAANTCGTAAGTTTTCCGTTTTTCTTGGTACGTTTTATCCCGGCTTTTTCCAGATATTATGAAAAGCGCTTGGGAAAATCAAAAATTGACATCCTTAAGGTATCACCTAGAGAAAAGGTGTCATATAAAGAAATGGTGCCGCACGTATATATTGGAGCAAGATTTCTGGTAAAATTTTTGTATACAGTAAAAATTAAATTAAATTAACGACCAAATATGAATATTAACAAGTCAATTCATAGTCGCAGTATCAAAATTATTCTTACAAGCTTATTAATCATTTCTTTGATATCATCTCTGGCATTCTCTAAATCTTTGATATCCAACCAGTACAACGATATCTTCCTTATTATTTGTATGCCGTACAGGAAAGTTTACTTGAATGCCGTATTTATTAATTAAGTTACGAATCGTTTATCTTTGTTTACCAATAATTATTAAGTTAGAATTTTGGTTCAATGTTCATCTTGATATAACAATAATTACGATGTATAACATTAGTTGATAATAGATATAACAAAATTATGATTAAATAAAAACTACATGACCTTTGACCTTTTTACATACATTGAGGGCAGACTGTAATTAAAATGTAATTATGTTTTAGACCAGAGGTCACCAATAGGCGGACCGCGGTTTGGATACGGACCTTGAACACTTTAGAATAGTTTTTAAATTTGTATCATACATTAATACAAATAAGAGAATGATAAGTGTGTTATATATAATTTATAAGATTTCAAAAAAATTATTTAATTAGGTAATTGATTAAGTATTTTTTTTTTTTTTTTTTTTAATCATTATATTTGGTCGATTAAATTATTTATTTTGAACAAATAAAATACACAAACAATAGATATATTTTATAATTCAAATTGAATTATAAATCACTCTTAGGACAGGAAATAAATGTAAATATTATGATTTTCGAAACGTACTTACTTATAATTATAGTTATTTAATAATTTAAGAGGACGTCGAATCTTTCACTGTGAATATGCCGATTTTATCCATCTAATACTTGATTTTGGTGTCAAATAAACATGAAAAGTTTTACTACATGGCTATAAAACAGTTTATTTAAAATCTTAATCTGCCGATTCTATATGATTTTTAAAAAAAGACGGACATACCAACTTCGAATGATGGTTGCAGACACTGGTGTTGGTGAAAAGTTGAGAAGGTAGGATACAGAAGGTAATTAAATATAAATCTGTAAGTGACGATAAACCATTGTAAATTAAAAAAACGATTCTGAGCGGAGTTTAGTTAATAGTGTTGCTTTTTCAACGATTATATGTTACATTATGGTAAAATAATTAAATAGGTGTTCAATTTTTTTAATGATATTTGTTTAAAATTGTACCGTTTTTCCCGGTTTCCCCATGTTTTTCTCAGGTTTTTCACATTTTCTGGGAAACCAGGGAAATCAGAAAAAGGTCTATATCGTATATATCGGAGTAAGCTTTCTGGTAGAAAAAGTGTTTACATAAAAAAAAAAAAAATATATCTTTGTAAAACCAATGCAAAAATGCAAATAAAATAATGAATTAATACCTTGTCATTTTTTTCATAAAAAACGGTTTTTACACTAATTTAATTTATTGATACTAATCGTTGTTATAGATAAATAACCGTGGTGTTCTCCAAATTTTTGACGATGTATGGATAATTTTAATCAGTTTTATTATTACCAAGCTGTGGTTATGTTATTATTCTTTTATCGCGTAATCACGTAATCGTGATGTAGTAGCTATTGGCGCATAATCAGTCTTAAACTTGGGAGTGCTAAAATTATTTACGATAGGATATCACTTTTTGAAAATTTTGTAAAGTGAATAAATAAAAAGTTAATTTTTTTTGTACTCAGGGGATGAAAATAAAAATGTAATTTTTCCCCTATTTGATGTCCTCGAAAAAAAACCGTTTGAAAAAAAAAAATCGAAAAAAATTAATTATTAATAGATCTAGAAAAATCTGCCTGACACGGTGAGACAGCCTGTAAACATGCCATGTCATATTGTTGAGTGCGCAATATTAAAAATCAATTTTAAAAAACTTTTAATAATTAATTTAATCACCAATTAATTTTTTTTTTGTACTCAGGGGATGAAAATAAAAATGTAATTTTTCCCCTATTTGATGTCCTCGAAAAAAATTGCGAAACTAGCTGGTGCAGGATGAGGGGCAGACGCTAATTTTTTAAGAACTGCAATTTTCGCATTAGTGTATTAAACTGCTGAATTCTGCTCTTCTGTATGGCTAAATTGCAGTCATGTAACTAAAATAGATGTTCAACTCAATCGTGCAATGAAAACAATTTTCGGTACACTAAAGTCAATTTCTCTACCTTGGTTGCCAGTACTTGTAAACACACCAGGCAAGAAGATATCTTCAGAAGAGAGCGGGAGAAATACCTTAGGTCGTCTGATAATCCAATATATGATGATATCTAAAATCGACCCCACTACGAGACTGAAATCGCGGAAACCATACTGGCCGGTAAATACAAGCAATTATTATACCAATAAGGAATGCTGGAAAGAAGAATGGAATATTAAAAAGCTATATAACTACAAACTAGTCGAGGATCCGGATCTCAAACTTCCAGCGTTTTACCTTCCTAGAAAAGATTGATTAAAGCTTAATCACTTCCGATGCGGGCAAGGGAGGTGCAATCATTTGGTGGCTAAATGGAACTTGGCAGATTCGGAACTCTGTGAGATCGATGGTAAGATTCAAACAATGGAACAGCTAATTGAAGATTGTACGGTACATTCCTTCACAAGGGGTATGGAAAAGTTACACTTATTGGAAGGAGACGCGGTCCGGTGGCTGTATGAATTAAAAAAAGAAATTTGATTTTGATAGTTTTATTTTTATTTTTGTTTATACATATAATTAACTGTTAGATATTTTATAGATTTTATAGTTGTTGTCGTTTACATCTCGCACGAAATGATTATTGTGTGTGTGAATACTAGGATTGAAACCATACGTATAATAATAATAACGGAATAAACGACGGCGCGACGCAGGGGCGTACCTGTTTTGCCTATACGCGATGCCTGGCAATAATGATAATCGGAAAACAAAACGAAAAAAAAGTGCTGATACCAGAGACGGATGTGCAATTGCTGTAGGCGAGAAAATACGTGCATGAAGTTGGCCCCCCTACATTAATGCATTAACCCGAAAATTGTGTCATTGTTTTGCAACTGATTTGCTGCGACCAAATTTCTCCACCGCAAAATTGATTCAACTGGTGGGGGGACCAACTTCACGTAGCACCCCTATATCGGCCGGTTGACTTCAATACTGGTTCCATAATTTTGTAAGTGATTTGCAACTATTTGAAATCGTGTTTTTTGAAATTCGCAGGCAATTATTTT